GGGAAGGAAATAACATTGCACTTTATAAACACTGTATTGTAAGTGGAAAATGCAATGTCTTAAATAAAACTATTTAAAATTGGAAACATAAAAAAAAAAAAAGAATAAATATTTCATGGGTGGTGACGGCCTTCATCTTGAAACATGACTACGACTTGGCAAAGCTGAATGTGGTGCCTCTGTGTGTCCTGGGCTGATTTATGGTTCCCAAGTAGGACAATGCAAAACGACTCCAAATAATTCGTGTTATTAGAAATGCAAGTGTTTTAAAATGTTTTGGTGGACACGATGGTTCCTGCCTGTAATCCCAGCACTTTGGGAGGCTGAGGCAGGTGGATCACCTTTTCATATGTCTGCTTGCAATTTGTATGTTGTCTTTTAAGAAATGTCTATTCAGATTTTTTGCCCTTTTTGGTTGGATTATTTGATTTTTTTTTCCTAGAGAGTTGTTTGAGCTCCTTATATATTTTGGTTATTAATCCCTTATCAGTTGGATAGTTTGCAAATATTTTTTTCCATTCTGTGTGTAATCTCTTCACTTTGCTGACTGTATCCTTTGCTGTGCAGAAGCTTTTTAACTTGTTACCCTGTTTGTCCATTTTTGCTTTGGTTGCCTGTGCTTGTGGGGTATTGCTCAAGAAATGTTTGCCCAGAACAATGTCCTGAAGATTTTCCCCATCCTAAGATGTTTTAATCCTCCTTAAAGCTCAGGGCTCAGGGAAGCTTCCTGACTGACCAATGCCTGGATCCAGTTTTTTGTTTTGTTTTGTTTTGTTTTTGTTTTTGTTTTTTTTTTTGTTTTTGAGATGGAGTCTCACTTTGTTGCCCAGGCTAGAGTGTAGCGGCATGATCTTGGCTCACTGCAATGGCCACCTCCCACGTTCATGTGATTCTCCTGCCTCATCCACAGGTGTGCGCCACCATGCCCAGCTACTGGGTCTAGTTCTGGTCACCTCCCACTGTCCCCTGTAAGTATTCCAAAGGAAGTGTGTATTGAGATGAATGGGTTAACTGATGCTGCAGTAACAAACAAACCTCACATTTCAGTACTTTAATAAGGTTGTGATTGCCTCAAACTATATCCCTGTGAAGGGAGAGCTGGGGGCCCTGCTCTATGCTGTCCTCATGCTTGGAACTGGGCTGATAGAGTAGCCACCATCTGCTGACTGCTCCTGCAGAGGGGCAGAGTGTGTGGTGAATTAACACTGGCTCTTAAAGCTTTCTACTGGCGGTAACACATTGCTTTACTCACATTTCATTAGCCAAAGCAAGCCACATGGCCATATCCCGTTTCAAGGGAAAGGAGTATAATAGACCTTATTATTACCAAAATGTTTGCTGTTCCCACCTGTGGAAGGATTATAATTCTCTCCTCATTAACATGTGGCCTAGCCACATGACTTGCTTTGGCTACTGGTCTTTTTTTTTTTTCTTTCATTTTTTTTTGACAGAGAGTCTTGCTCTGTTGCCAGGCTAGCAAGCAGTGGCACAATCTTGGCTCACTGCAATCTCCGCCTCCTGGGTTCAAGCGATTCTCCTGTCTCAGCCTCCCAAGCAGCTGGGACTACAGGCATGCGCCACCATGCCCAGCTAATTTTTGTATTTTTAGTAGCAATAGAATTTCACCATTTTGGCCAGGATGGTCTTGATCTCTTGACCCCGTGATCCGCCCGCCTCAGCCTCCCAAAGTACTGGGATTACAGGCATGAGCCACCGCGCCTGGCCCTGGCTACTGGTCTTTGAGTAGAAATGTGCCATGAGGGACTGACTGCTCCTTCAGTCTGAATCCTGGAGATGACAGAACAGAGTGAAATTGACCCACATGGGAACAACGCATGAGTGGGAAAGAAATCTTTGTAGTTATAAGCGCCTATGATTTGGAGGTTGTTCATTACTGCAGTATAGCTTAACTTACACTGATGGTTTCAGTGGGGAAGTATAATTTTATCCTGTGCTCGAGGGGAGACTTGGAAACGGCTGATGGGCAGCATGCATGACAACCACATAATGCCATTTGAATTGAAAACTGGAGAGAACAGCAGCGGGCTAGGCTGGAGGGAAAGCATTTCAGGAAGAAGGAAGCATGACTGCACGGTTTGGAAAAGAGGAGGATGCAGTGAGGGGTGGATTGGGTGTATGGCAGGAGGGACAGAATGGCAGGAACAGATGCCATCTGTTCTCTCTGTTAGGTTTGGCTTACACCAGTCCCAGATCTAAGGTCACCTTTGAGATGACTTTTGTCGGTTCTGGTAGTAATTTGATTTGGATGACGTCTGGCCCCTCTCTGACCTCACAGATGCCTCTGTAAGCAGGTATAACATTCGCTTCTCAATGCTGTTGCGGACTGTTGGATGAGTTAAGCACTGGTGGAAAAGCCTGTGCTCTGGAATCAGATGGAGCCATGTTTGAATCCTGGCTCTGCCACTTCCTAAGAACCTTGGAAATTCTTCATTTTTAACATCTGTAAGCCTCTGATTCCTCATCTGTAAAATGGAGATGATGATTAGTGCTTCATATGGTTGTTACAAGGATTATAAGAAATAGCAAAATTATGCAATGCATAATTTATAAAGATTCCATATTCATTAATCCAACATGAGAATTATAGAAATGTTGGGCCTGGGTTATTTTTCTTCTGATTCTTGTTACAAAACAGATGACAGTTTTTGTATATTTAAGGCAAAATTATATTGGCATCGTCTTTATGTGAAATATCTCCTTTAAGGTGAAGTTCAGATATTTAACATAAAGAAGATCTTTAATAGCATAGAGCAAAGCTGCAGTGTTGTTTACTTTATTCACATGCCATCCCAGGGTCTACAGGGTCTAACTCTCACTGTTGGCTAGTCCCCCTTGAATTCCAACTCCACGATTAGTTCACAGGATAAACCTGTTGCTTTGTTTGTAGTGATGCTCCAGCAGAAATGAGAATATAATCAGGCAGACTGGGCTGAAAGTTATTCACCCACCAGAGCTCTGCACAGGCCGGTTGCAGCCCTCTGAGAAAGACAGCTGTCAGAGCCATTTGCTGAGAACTTTCTGCGAACATGTGTATCCGGCAGGTGAGGCCAGGAACAGTGCTCCAATCCCAGGGATTTCAATTAACAGGGTGTAAGCTAAGATCTTTACTTAGATCATCTCATTTAATCCTCAAAACAACGCTGCTATCAAATACTAACATATTAATTCCATTTTTCAGATGAGGAAGTGGAGGATCAGGAAAGGTGACATAATTTTATTAGCTGGGATTCAGAAGAAGAATGTAATCACTGCATTAAATTAATTATTAGGATTTCATAGCCAAGGGAACCACAACCTGAGTGACTTATTCAGGCCTCACTGTCCTGTTAGTGAATCCCCTGGTGTCCTAACTCCCAGGAAGAGCTGAGTTTTATATTTATGAATGTACACAAGTTATAAGTCAGGTGCCACCAAATCTGTTGATCTTTCACAAGTGTGATCGCTTATGTCGCATCCAAGCTTAGAAAGTAATTTTTTTTAATAGTAAATTCTTATCTTTAAAGATTTTTTTGTTTGTTTGAGACAAGGTCTAGCTCTGTCACCCAGACTGGAGTGCAGTGGCAAGATCTCTGCTCATTGCAACCTCTGCCCCCCACAACCCCCCGGGTTCAAGGGATTTTCCTGCCTCAGCTCCTGGAGTAGCTGGGACTACAGGTGTATGCTAGCACACTTGGCTAATTTTTTGTATTTTTAGTAAAGATGGAGTTTTGCCATGTTGGCCAGGCTGTTCTTGAACTCCTGGCCTTGAGTGATCTGTCCTTTTCAGTCTCCCAAGGTGCTGGGATTACAGGGATGTGCCACTGCACCCGGCTGAATTTTTAAAGACTCTTTAATGGCTTGTTTAAAAAAGATATATTGTTTAACTTTTTAATAAGAGAATAATTGGTGATCTTGGACAACCCCCTCCCCCGCAATGAATGCGGGGATTGTGCAATCTGTTTTTTGTTTGTTTGTTTGTTTGTTTTTGAGACGGAGTTTCACTCATGTTACCCAGGCTGGAGTGCAATGGCGCGACCTCGGCTCACCGCAACCTCCGCCTCCTGGGTTCAGGCAATTCTCCTGCCTCAGCCTCCTGAGTAGCTGGGATTACAGGCACGCACCACCATGCCCAG